TCTGACTTCTCACCACATTTACTTGTTGCTTGGACCACTATACCCTTAGCTTCGTGAACTACATTCTCTAATTTATGTTCACTTTCTTCCTCTGGAGCCTGAGTTTCATCATCCACAGATTCAATGTTTTTCTCAGCAACATCTGCAGACATGTCAACATCTTTTCCATCCACCTCGTATGGGGCCTCAACATTAATATCTGGACAAAGCACATCAAGCTTTGTGGGATCAGGGGATTTCTGATGATCCCCTGCATTATAAAGAACTGCCGTATCATTTAAGGAGGCATCTTTATATAAGTGCACAGACCCCTTTTGGTTAGCTGAAACTAACCTAGGCCTAGAACCCAGAGTCTTCTTGGACTTCACCTTCTGCTTAAGATGTTTTGTTACCAAGTCATTATTTCCCTCTTTAAGCATGTTCAGATTAGCAGGGTCGTTGGAACTGTTATTCACTGACTTTTTGTTACTTGCAGATGAACCTTCAACATCTTGTGGCTGATTTTGCAGTTCCACTGCTTTGCTGACTGCAGCTGTAGACTTTTCCTCAGCACAATCTACAATACCAGGCTTGTTGGATAAGCTAGAGTTTCTTAATCTTCGAAGAGTGGTTAGAGGTGATTTCATGTTTGCATTTTCATCTTTCCCCATGTTTGAGATCACGGTGGCAGAGAAGGGGAGATCAGATGCCAATGGCTTCTGAATTAAATTAGATAATTTGGCTGGTGAAACACCAGCCGTTGAGTTTCCTGCAGCATTCAAATTGCCAGTCTTATCCAGAGAGTGGTCATCATTTGTGACAATATAATGGCTAGTAGTCCTGCATGAACCATCAATCAAAGATGTAGGCTTTACTTTTGGAGATTTATTACTTGGTGAAGGACTATGCATACTGCCTAATTTTGCACCTGGACTCGTCTTCTGTGATTTGGAGCTAGCATAAGAGAGATCCATCACCCTTTTCCGAGGCAATATACCACTTGACTCTTCTCCATTCTGTAAATGAATTCCTTTTAAAGGGACTTCAACACAATTGGGGTCAAATTTGTCATTTGCTTGATCTTTCAAAGTGGCACTTGATTTGCAAATAGGTACTTTAGAAGACACACTACCACCACTTGATTTATCACCCGTGTATAGTGGAACTGTTGGCATCCATAAGGTTTGCCTTGAGTAGCTTATTTTCCCAGCAGAGTGCGAAGCCCTTCCAGCAGAACCACAATTAGATATGAAATCATCTCTCACCTTAGGGTCAGGGGTTCGGTGATGTTGATCATTTAGGTCACAGCCACTAGCATCCCTCAACTCGCATGCATCCTGACAGCTTAATCCCTTGGAAACATAAGAATTAGAAAAGCTTGAGGTTTGATCCAATTTATTCTCATTCTGAGGAATTGATAAGTTGCCAATGGCATTATCAAAAATCAAGGGAACCTTAGGCACCTCTCCTTCTGATTTAGGCAATCTAGACGTTGCTGGTGAGCCAGCTTTTATATTGTGAGGACTTTTATACATGCTTCTCACCCCAGATTGCTTCCCAAATGTGTTTTCAGCCTCATCTTCTGAATCTCTAGCCTCAGCCTCCATCATCTCCAGTTCATAGCCACTGTTGAGAATGTGAGAGATCAGCATATAAATGTGCAGGTCTACGGAGAAAAAATTGTTCAAAAATTCACACACAACCAACTCACCTAATGTTGTAATTATCTTCTGGAAGAAGTTGCCAATCCCTTAAGCTGAAGCATGTAAAAAGGAGCTTAGATGGAAACAAATAAAGAATTCATAGTGGTGGAAAATCTCTTTTCTTTGGTTGAAACAATCTGAATAGATGCCAAATGATATCAGAATTTTTAAAACATAAGAGAGTGAACAAAACATGAACTTACCAATCTTCCAACCAACGATGGTTGACAAGCTTCATCTTTGGGATTTTCTTGGCAAGTTCGTACTTCTCCCCTAATGATATAAAAACCATATGTATCATAACTTTCGTTATAAAAGTACAGAGTTAAAGAAGAATGCATAACAGAGAATAGATAAAATGTGTACCCTCAAATTTGTAGCATACGAGATGAGTGACTTTGTTTGCCACCAAGGGCTTAGAAAACCGAGCACCCATTAACCCAACCATTGTCTGATAAAGAAAAAAGAAACAAATCATGAAACAGGCACTCATGAAACAAATCTCCAGTCTCCAGCAGGGCCTATATCTGAAGCATTGCAAAAAAGTAGAAATGCGTACCATAATGTCATCTCTATCTTGTCGTTGATATCCAGTCAAGCATACAATTAGTCTCTTGGCATCCGGAATACCATTCAAATCTCTAAGAGGTCTGTATATAATCTGTGCAAAAGGCTACTATTAATAAGGAACAGTATTTGCAGGCTCATAGGTGCTTTAAACTATGGCAGCTAGAGTTTGCATTTTCAATAAACGTGGTTCGTTTATCATGTATTAATTAAATGAATAAATGGCAAACTTCACTGGGAATGAGGACACGTTTAAGAAGCCAGATCCCAAAACAAAAGAAAGGATCAAAACTGGAAAATGATAAGAGAAGTAAGATTGAGAGGGGGGAAAAAAACTCACCGAAGTGGGATCAATGGGGAGTCCGACATCAAAACTATGATGAACCCATAAAGCGGTGACAAGAGTCTTGGCGTCATTTCGAGCAGCAACACATACGGGATCATCCTACACAATGTACAAAAATGCAAATAATACCATTCTACTTCAATAATTCTACGATAATCACAGAAAAGAAGACATAGCATGAACTTATTGAAGCGTCAAAATTGAACCTTGGAGAAGCAATTAGAAGAAAAAAGCGACTTACATACACAATTTTATCCACAATGACGTGGGTGCAATTGGGGGAATAGTGGGCAACATCCTCTCCGCCGCAATCTACAAGCTTAGATCGAACCTGCGCGATTCATCAATAAACACAAAACTAAGCAAGGCTACCACATCATAGTATCATACACATGGAAATTTCAGATACTTGTAATTCCCAAGACTGTAAGAGACAAAGGGAAGGGAGGAAGGAGGACCTGGTCCTCGTCAAAGGGATCGAATCCCAAAAGAAGGAAACGGACGCCTATAAACGTCTTGGCCGGTGAACTTCCCTCCGTCATTGAAATTTGAATCCTTTCAACTCTCTAGCTCTTTCTGGGCCTCTCTCAGCAGTTAAATACCTAAACCCAACACAAGATTCATCCAGAAATAAAAGCTAAAGAGAAAAAGGAAGAAGGTGCGATTCAAGGGGTGAGGGTGTAAAACTAACAGATAGTGCTCCGCCTCCGCGGCTTCTGCAATCTCATCTCATCCGGTTGCTGAATGCCTAAAACTTGTGGAGGAAGACTGAGAGGCCGACTCACTGTTTGGGGGAAAAAATGACAATTATTAATAATTATTGTTTTTTATAATTGGTAAAAGGGAGGGAATTTTGTTTCATTTTTTGATTTTGGGTGCAGTGGCGGGAGGTCTAAATGGTGCGAGTGCGCCACGTGGAACAGTGGCACCACATATCTTGAACGCGCGTCGCCCATAAGAGCTACTCCACCGTGTGGAGTAGCCCGATGGACCGGCTCCAGAACAAGGGGCAATAGCCTCAGCAATTATGTCCAGCCCATGCGGGCGATTGCGCATGAAAGGATCTAATGACAGGCTGACGTTAGGATCACGTCAACTATAATATAAAATTAATAAAAAATTTTAAAAAATATAAAACCCAGCAGGCTTCGAACTCAACGACTCTCGCCGGAGGTCATCGCCGAGGCTGATGATACACCCATAGACAAATTGCAGAGACTAAACCCAAGGGTTTCAACTCGAAACACATAAAAAACCAATGAATAACTCAAGCAATTGAAGTAGGGCAATAACCTCACATGGGTTTGAGCAATGGAAACTTGAAGCTCTTGGCTTCAATGGTGTATCACCCAAATGGTGCTCTGATGATGCATGCAAGGATATTTTCGAGTTTCTCTCATCCAGGGGATTGAGATTTTAGAGTTTGTTAGTTTGATTTACTTTGGTTTCGAAGAAGAGGAAGGATGAGAGCTCTCGGAGCTGTAGAAAGAGAATGAGAGGGTCGAGAGATTAAAGAGAAATAGGGGTTTCAGAAATGAGGGGAAATGTTTGCGTCGGTAGAGAGAGAAAGAGAAAGAGAGATAGAGAAAGAGAAGGCTAGGTGAGGGGACTGGTCAAAGTAAAATAAATTCCACAAGTAATTATTTTGTATTATTTTATAAAATAAAAAATACTAATATTTTATTACCTATTGTCATGGCTATTCAGTATAAAGATGGAGATGCAAAAGGTAATTACTATTCATTAAGACAGTTACTGTTCATTGAAGGCTATTCAACAGTGATTTGCCTTAGGGGGCCTTTGCAACGGTGAAGTTGCTCTAAGAGTGTCTCTAGCTGACTGGTTAGAAGAAATTTTTTTACTAGTGTAACGAAAAATGTAGTGTCACCCAGTATTACGGTATGCTAGTATTCCTTCTTATTTGTAGGTGAGAGTTTTAGATTCGAATTTCGTGAGTGGCAAATTCGATACTAAATTAGGTTACCCATTATGTGACTAGCCAAACTCCCTTTTTTCTTAGTCATATCATTGCACTAAAAAAAAAAAAAAATGTAGCGAAAAATAAAAAACAGCAAATCTACTCACTGTATGGCTCGGTAAATAAGCGAAATAAACAATTACTCGCTAGATTTAACAAAAAGAAAAGAGAAATGACACGCTTGTTATAATTTAAATATTGTATTTGTAAAGTAGGCTTCCAATTAGCTTGTAATACTTTTATACACTAGTCTTTAGCTATAAATTAACAAATTTACATATTGTTGCTGGAGGAGTTCCAAACCTCCCGGAGACTAGAGTCGTTAACATACATAAAATGGGCCTCTGGCTATACGCTTAGCTTTAGGTGAATCACCAACTTTTCGATCAGATCAGATTGGTGAATCCAACGGTCAGGAATAAAACTAGAAAGAAGCAAAGCAACTACCATTCGCCATTTCCAGTCGCAAGAGGAAAACAAGATAGTGAGAGAAAGAAAGTAGGTAAAGCTTCAAGCTTCAAGCTTCATTCCTTCAATCGCTTGCGAATTGCGATGGCTTGGTTGACTCGATTTGTGGCAGCCGTGGCTTTCTTGGCCATCGGAGTGATATTCTCCCCGGAGACCTTTGGGTCGAAATCGGACGGTCTGAAATCGCCCACCCTCTCCACCTACCTAAAGCTGGCACATCTGCTCTGTTTCTCCACCGCTTTCGGCGCCGCTCTATGGGTCACCTTCATAGGCGGCATCATCATGTTCAAGTATTCATTTTTTATCTTCTCTTGAATTTCCATTTTTGTTGGTAATTTTGTATTTTGTTCAACGGAGAAGAATAACAAAAATTGGTTGATTGGTTGATTGATTGATGAATTGGAAAATAGGAATCTTCCGCGGCATCAGTTCGGGAATCTTCAGAGCAAGATGTTTCCGGCGTACTTCACGATGGTGGGGATATGCCTTGCAGTATCAGCTGGGTCGTTTGGGTATTTACATCCGTGGAGCTCTTCCTCTGTTGCCGACAAGTACCAGCTCGGCTTTTTGCTCTCTTCCTTATCTTTCAATCTCACCAATCTCTTCGTCTTCACTCCCATGACCATCGAGGTAATTGCTAGTTGCTAATTGCTGTACATTTCATTTCATAACTTGGAAATTCAGTTTAGTGCTTGTTTACTGACTTGCAATACTGTCTGTCTGTCTGTCTGTCTGCGGATTAGGTAGATAAAATGTATCCCAACTCCGTCTGTGTGTTTATTTGGTTAAGTAGCTATCACTCACAGCGAAGTTCGTTTATTTGGACCATAACATGAGCATGTCATCACTGTCTATCATGGTGCTGCGTAACTCAAATGTAATTGTGGTTGTGGTGGCTGACGGGTGCAGATGATGAAGCAAAGGCATAAGGTGGAGAGGGAGCAGAACATTGGGGAAGAAGTTGGATGGTCAAAGAATGTGCAAGTTGCAAAGGTAAACCCAAAACTGGCAGCCATGAATAAGAAGTTTGGTATGATTCACGGACTATCATCTCTTGCCAACATCTTCGCATTTGGCAGCCTTGCTATGCACTCGTGGTACTTGGCTGGTAAGCTTGATCTCTAAGAAAATAAAACCCCAACTTCCCCTTTTCTATGGGGGCTTTCTTCTCGTTCTCGGTTTCAAAAAACAACACACTTATGACTCTGAATGAATTGAATTGACTCAAAAGTTCTATATGTACGAGGAATGCAATGTTGGAAGCATTGTGCTGTTGTGCCGTTGACCATCGGAGACGTGAGTTTCTATTCAAGATGATATATACTTGCTTCTTGTTTTGGTAGGCAATTGTTGAGTCCATTCCACTCATTCAAAGACATTATATGGCTATCGAAAATTTGTTCTTGCCACCAATAGCATCTTTTAGTGACGAATAAAAATGGCTTTGTAATATTTCGTTAATGCGCATTCAAATTATCTTGCCAAGAGTCAAGTTTCACGTGAATTGTGAGCTATAACTCGCGACTTTTGGCCAGTTTTGCAAATATCCTCCTAAAACATCATAAATTGATTTAATCAGTTTTGTCTTGCTGTCATAAAACTAAATTTGGTGCCCTAAGTTGAATGATGATGATCATGTCTATGCCATATTAAACCCTATTACTCATGCTACTTTACGGTTGCACGCTGAGAAAATTTAAACGTTACAGAATCCCTCTGCCTCTCCCTCTGCCTCTGCCTCTTGCCAGTAAAATTTTCTTTGTATGTGTATCCATTGCTAATTTATATTATCTTGTTTACACAACAATAAGAGTATCCATCCAGCTTCACGTTTATCATCTCTCTTGAGAAATGTGAATGAAACAAAAAACACCCCCACCCACCCTGCTCACCCTGGACCCGGATTTTGCTTACTATTACGAATAAGCAAACAAATTGAATAAAGAATCATCTATCGTTCTGCCACCCAACCACAACCACAACCACCGCCCATGTGCACAAGTAATATTCCCGTCCACAAGCATGTAACATGAATCGCCCGCCTACCTCATGCCGGTTAGTCACCGGAAACCGATGATGCTGTATGCCCCCAATACTAACAATCGCGCTGGTACCAAAAGCACCACAAACAAATGCATGTGCCGCGATGCAACAAGTCTACTGAGCCGTTTCAACGACTCTCTCCCCGTCTGTAATACGCCAGAAAAGTTTAATTGCTCTTTTCCCAGGTTGATTGAGGCAATTGTCCTTCCCACAATCACACCTCCTGCATGCATGCTCCGGGGTGCTATCAAGGGCCACCACACCTTGCGGCGCTGCTGTCTCCTAGACTTCCTAATCTGGTTAAGCTCTTGCCGAATTACCCCACGAACAGATTTTAAGTAAGAATTCACATCATGATCTCTTTGAATGGTTCCTTCTGAACCATATGCAGACCGATCACTTAGGATCTCGAGTGGGTGTGGTGAGTTTAGGAATACCAACTGTGCAGCGAGGAGCTGCCTCTCTGCATCACTGCCATCAGACAGCGGACAGCTTAGAAGATATAGACCGCTGCCTGATGGAAGAAGATGATGATTTGGGGAGAATTTCTCATCTGGTTGAAGAATCAGGAGCTCCCCCATTGGAGAATACAGTAGCTTCTGTTTTGAGGAAAGACAAAACAGATCAGATACAGAAATCAAAATCAGGGGAACAATGAAATGGATAAATCCAATGTTCTTCTGTTCTCCTACTACGATCTTTCTAAGACAGTACCAGTCTTACCTGGTTATTGAGACAGGGATGATTCCGAAAGTTCCCATTCAAAGCCTTGAGAAGCTCTGCCACATGATTTGGGTAATTGCAAGAGAAGGCACGGGGTACAATGTCTCTGTGCAACGTAATAGACTGAACATGATTTCGTGGTAATCCAAGCTTGCGAAGCAATTGGTCACCTCCACACATAATGGATGGTGCACCAAAAGTAATAACAGGAAGCAGTGAAGAAACTGGCACTTCTAACCGTATAAGCAACATGAGATTTATTAGTAGTGCCAAGCTTCCCCCTAAAGAATGCCCAGTAAAACGAAAGGTTGCACGGTCACCACAAGATTTGAGGTGGGCATGGACTTCAGGCAGCATCTGTTCGTAAATCCCTTTCGCAGCCTCGTATATGCCTCTATGCACAAGCACATCCAGTCCCTAGGAAAAAGAAGATTATTCAATAAGTAATTACTTCTCATACAAACAAGGTCAATACTATTACTAGGAAAACTAAAGAAATTATGGAAAGGGATTAACCTCAAACTGAATGGGCTCAAAAAGTAGATTTGCTTGCCAGGATGCTAGGGAGTCAGACCCCTGCAAATCATATAGATTTGAAGTCAAATATAGGAAAGAAGATACCAAATATTAAGAAAACAAAATGAGCTGATAAGTAAATCATAAAACTGGGGAAAGTTCCCTGAAACAGATGTATAAAACCACAATATGTTCCCCCCTTTTTAACCGTTAATAGAAAGAAAATTATTCGAAGTGCCCCAACATGCTCGGCCCTTGAGGGATGCATAAATATTGTACAGTGCATAAGGGAGGGCCTTTTGATTGGTTTTCTTACCTGAATGACAAAGAATCTGGTGCTGCTTTGATCATCATCGCATACGAACCATTCACAAGGTGATGAAAGTGTTGAATTTAAGTCATCTGCAACAGCCTGCTTTACTTCTTCCTTTGCAGCAACGACGGCTGTAACTGAGTCGGTGGTTGCCATTAAAGAAGCCACTTCTGAGTTCATCCTATTAACAGCTTCGCTTCTTTCACTGCCTTCTTCAGTGAGATCTTTATCTGCCTCAGTCTCTGAGGATTTGAATGGAAGTATGCTCCTTGTTTGAGAACGCAGATAAGAAGCTGCAGAAGCAGCAATTTGATAAGCAGCAACTGGACTTATTTGATATCCATTGTTCTTTTGCTCCTTTATTTCCCCATCTTCTTCCCTGTCTTCCTTAAGGTTTTTTTCAGTTTCTTGAATTTCAGCTGACACCTGGTCCTCCTCAGTTTTAGCAGCCAATTCCTTCTTCTCTACGGACGAAGTAACAAAACGCAAACCATAACTTCTTAGGAGATTTCCTGTCTGAATTTGAAATAAATCAAGTAAGTTCTTATGCATGTAGCCTGTATATGGGAATTGGATTGGTTGACGGAAATGAGATACATGAGATAGTTTATCAACCCAAGAAAATACGAGAGTCCAAAGTGATTCCCTAACATAGAGTAAGATGTAATTATAGCATCCGATACATATCATATCATGATTCATGACCCTCAAGTGATTAAGGATCCAGTAGCGTCATCAAACGAGTAAATAATGCAAACTGCCCGGAACCATAAACAACAGAACGAACATGAGATTTGAGTGATGCCATTTTAATTACACGATTAAGCATCAATGCACCATGCCTTGATGAAAAGAAGGTTGATGTATAAACTTGACCTTAGTACAGAAAAGTTCCTAACCGAGGTAGGCAACTAATATCTATTAAATCACATTCCTATCAAATGCAGAATTCGCTACCTCAGAAACACCTCAAACGAATACAAAAACACAAACAACAAGAACAGATTTTCAAATCTCAAAAGGCCAAAATTGCTGGATTCTCATGGGAAAGCAAAACATAATTTTCCCACGCATATTGGGAATAGGAATGATGAATGATGTGTGCGTACCTGGATTTTAGGAATGGAATAAGCTAAGTTCCCCAAGTACGACATTTGAGCATACAACCTCGCCTCCGCCAACGAAACCTTCCTAAGCAACCGACTAAACGTATCTTTATCAAACTCGGCCTCCTCTGAAACACTACAACAATCATTTTCGTCATCGTCTTCCTCCGAGTTGGCCTTCCCATTTCTGTCATCATCATCCACCACGGTTTTTCCATCTTCCCTTGGCAGCTCTGCAACGCCGCCACCCTTGTCCCCCTGCTGTTCCTCTCTCCTGGGTAGAGAGAGAGACCTCACGTGCAAAATCTTCAAAACCCAGTTCCCACTTTGACCGGCCGACGCCCTGGTCGCACTCTGGCGCTCCTCCTCCGCCTCCTCTTCCTCCTTAGAGGGTAAGGGGACGGCTTCGTAGGGAGCCATCCCATTGTAGGCAGGTCCACCTCCTCTTGCTGCTCCAGGCCATAAGAATTTCAGAGGGTGCTTTAACGAGAATCTGGAAAACGGCGTCGTCCTTTTCTGAACCAAAGCTGCTGTGGACTTGTCAATCCCAGATGCAGAGGAGCGGCCAATGGCGCTCACCTGAGATGGAGATGGGCTCGTACGGATATCGAGGGCTGCAGCCGCTGAGATGGTGGAAGATATGCCGTGTATCCCTGGCGCAGTTGTTTTCAGACAAAGGCCATCCATTTATGACTAGTCTCCCTGCTTCCTTCTCTTCCTTTCCTCTTCTTTTTGGGTATATAGAGAACAAATATGATTATGGGGATTTTGGTTTGATTTCGCAAAACACGTAAACAAATAAAAAAAACCTAAAAGGCGTTAACCTACAATTTACAAATAAGTAAAGTATTTGTATTTAAATTTGGGTGAATCGTCTGTGTTTCTTTCTTGCACGAAGCTGCAGAAGATGGAATTGAGAGAGAGAGAGACAGAGAGAGAAAGGGGCCTTTTAAGGAGAGAGAAAAAGAGAGAAAGAAGACGAAGAAGACGACGAAGACGAAAGGAAACAAAGGAAAGAAAGAGAAAGGGAAGGGGGTTTGTATGTAATTTTGGTAGTTTTGTAAAACCCGCAACCGCCCACCAACTTTACAAATCATGCTCATTTTCAACCTTCTCGCAACTGTATATTTAATATTATTATTTTTTTAAATAAACGATATTCTATATGAATGCACCCGGCACAAATTGAACTCAAATCTCTTTAGAGTAGTGAGCAAAATTAGAGATTGTATAGAAATAGAAAGGTTTGGAAAGATGATAATGTAATGATTCAGTAATGCATTGGCCTATCTTAAGTTGGTGGACCGCGGAGGCCTAGTCTAAACTAACAAGTGCTAATTTGATTATGATTAGACAAGTAATGATTATGTATTAGGGAATATACAAGTAATAGTATTATATTAGGAGTCCAAGACCACCAGCATCATCGGGATGTGTCATGTTTGAGTATCACATGGGTGGGGTGGGGTGACCTGGCAAAATCATGGAAGCAACAAGAAGAAAGAAGAAGAAGGTAATCTGAATATCATCTTATACGAAAGTGCGTGGTCGGGTCGGGTAGGCCCCTTCCTTCTATCTCCTTTTGATCGAGTCTCTGTCCATCGTTGGTCTCTCTAACATCTGTGTGTTATTAACACCAAGCAATTTCATATGCAACAATGAAATCGTGAGTTACAAGTGATTTTCTCTTTCCTTTCCCTTTTTTGAAAAAGATTGAGAAACATACATGTAGCTAAATTTTAAAATGGAAC